GGTACAGAGTGGACATTAGAGTGACAGGTGTGTGTGTCTGTGTGTGTGTGTGTGTGTGTGTGTGTGTGTGTGTGTGTGTCTGTGCGCGCATGTATTGCCTTATCAGAGGAGTTTTTGAGGATGCCAGTTGGCCTGAGGAGGGGCGGTGATGCAACGCGGAGCTTACGGACAGACACTGCCCATTGACGGTAAAATGTGGAAAGAAGGCTGGGCTAAACTTTCAAGAAAAGAGGTCACCCTGTGTGGGAATTTCCCTCTCTCCTGTCAGCATGTGCGCCAGGAGCAGGGAAGGACTGCTTTGGGGCTCCAATGGGAAACCAGGGGGGGGGGGGGTCATTGAAGAAAGAATGCAGAGAATGTCTAAAACGAAGCTCTGCCAAACACTGACGGGTACGACGAGAGCTCCTAAATGTGCTGACAGAAGTCACAACAATGGAGCGCCGGGTGTTAAATCATTAACGCGTTATACGACATGATAATTGTTCCTGAAACTCTTTAGATGATGTTCTGTTCTACAACTTTTCCCGAAGGCTGTGTGTAAGAAACAATCATGTCTAGTGGCACTGCTTTTGTACACACTAAGTCCTAAAGCTAAACCACAACTATTTAAAGCTATTGTGATGTTCGTGGAGGATAACAATGTCTTATTCAAATGTGGGTGTAGCAGTCTTCAAGTGGTGATGTGTTGGAAACGGAGGATATTGCACAACAGTTAAAAGCTAAACTGTTCCATCATTGGGTGTGTTGAAACAACCACTGTGTTCAAAATGTCATCTTTCGACGCACAAAGCAGCAACAGTTTTTATACCTTGAGAGAATTTTTAAAAAGACAGTTGTCATTGACAATAAAGTAGACGTGTCCCCTTGTGAGCAGCTAGACAAGGTGGGGGTTTTTTAAACTCGTTTTTGGCCATATAGGAAAACATTCCCCACCCTTAATTGTCACGGCTCACCTACAAATCCCACCGTGCCCGTTCCTTTATCCTCTCTGTCTGGGGTTTGCTTGTTTGAGACAGATAAGTTTCATAGTGTGTGAAAGCGGTCTGCCGGATTGGTAAATTCTTCTGCAAACAAGCAGTGAACTTATCATGTCTGGTGTAACTTACTTTGTCACTCCCAGTTTTAACTTCTTCATTTTTTTTTTCGATGTTTTTTTTTTTACCTTCAGGTTGAAACAAGGTTTGCTGGGTGGGGGGGGGGGGGGGATACGGATCTCGCCTTCCAACCAGGTCTTCTGGCTGTTGGAGCGTGACCTGAGGTGGTGTGAGGAGGTTAGTTGCTGATTAATTTGAATGCAACCTTGAACCCCTCTCTGGGCCAGTGGACCCGGCAGACTATTGACAGAGCCGTGTGCCACAGATAAAGCGAACATTTCTGCAGTGCAGTGTGACAGAGTCTATCTTCTTTTTTTTTTTTTTCTTTTTCCGCTTTGCTCAGCAGTATCATTTCAGTATAAATTGGTGGGATGCATTTTGAGATTTGAGTTTTCGTTTCAATAGATGAGTAAACATTGAAATGCATTAGGTTAACAAGGAATCCCTTCATGTTTCTAATGTCATTTGGAAAGATAAACACTATTTTACATATTAACCCTCTTTCTTTATTTCTGTCACCAAGTGACGGCACTGATCAAACCACTGAAAGACATTTTCTGCTTTGTGGAAACCATAAATCCTTTTAAAATGTCTTTAGCCCCACTGGTGAAGACTAGATCTATTAAATCCACTGTGTACAAAAGCTAACATCACATTCCTTTAGCGAGTTGATATATTGCTGCATATTGGCCTAGATTAGAAGATGCCAAATGTTCCTTAACGTCGAGCCAGTATTTATCTGCAATATGTGATTGAAACACATTGCAATAGACAGGTCGTGAATATTTAAGGCAAGCACAACACCATCTGCTTAAAAAAGGATGAAAAAAGAAGTCACAAAGGGGAATTGTTTAGACAAAGTATAAATCTGTTTAATTCAATAAAATATCAAGTACATTTAAAGCATTTAACCATTTAATATTAAATAATTTGACTTATTTCATTCATTGCCAGCACTATTACAAAGAGTTGCATCATTTCACTGCAGCACAACTCTTCCCTTAAACAACCATTGCTCCAGATACACCAAATGTAGAAATTCACTCGCATGTCCGTAAAATATGCACCGAAATACTGCATCACGAAATTACATCTGAGAATAAAGCCACGGTGACATGTGAAGAATCGTGAATGATTGCGCAATCCATGCAGCCACTCCTTCAGTCCCATTGAAACTGTCCCTGTAAACCGGTGGCCGCTGTCTTCGCGTACCGTTTGTCCACACTAGATGACTAGTGTCCTCTGAAGTCCACCGACGACCAGACATGTGCGGTCTTAACACTGTCCGGTGGCGGAGAGCAGGTTGCGCAGGGTGGCCAGCTCTCTGGACAGCTGCTCCACGCGTTTTTGTAAACGATCGTTCTCCGCGGCCAGTTCCAGCACTTTGTGCTGAGTCTCCATGTTGCGCACTTTGGCTTTGTCCCTGCTCTTCCTCACGGCGAGGTTGTTCCTCTCCCGCCTCACCCGGTACTCCTCGCTGTCCTTGTCCAGGCGCTTCTTCGCCTTCCCGGAGGACATCTTGCCACTGTGCGTCGGGGACCCGCTTTTACCTGAAGGCGCAGGTGTGCCGGGCGGGCTGGAGCAGGTCGAGGACGCGCTGGAGATGTTTCCGAGACTGCCGCTGGTGGACTGGTAGTGCACGTAGAAACCGGACGAGCCGTTCTCCATAGTTGCGTCCCTCTCGGCCGCGGCTCTGTAGCGGCTCCCGGGGAGTTCGGGGCTGAGCACGCTATCCACGCGGGTTTCCTGCAGCTCCGTGTAACCCAGCGCGTAAGGCTCCCTCGGGTCCCTCGGGTTGTCGCACTGACTGCTCTCCAGCTCGGTCAACAGCGAGTAGTTCTTGTAGTTCTGCAGAGCCGCAACTCTTTTCAGCTTGCTCTCGGGCAGGAAATCAGAGTAAGCGTCCCCCTGCAGCTGGTGGTGGTGGTGGGGTTGCTGCTGCTGCTGCTGCTGCTGCTGGTGGTGGTGGTGGTGGTGGTGCTGCTGCTGCTGGTGGTGCGTCTGCGCCGCCTGTTGCGGACAGTGCAAAGCCGAATCCAGGTAAACGCTGAAGTCTATCGCTCTCTCCCGCTCTTCGATGCCCAGCTCCGTCATCGAGTCGCCGACCCTCCAGTGCGCGCCGCCGCTGACGGAACCGATGATGCCGTCTCTACCGTGGATAGCAAAGCCGCCCTCGTCGTAGAATCCGGCCACTTCCATGGATCTTAAAACCCGCCGGATCGAAGGAGCATGGAGGGCGGAGGTGAGACGCCCGGGTCGGTTTGTAATTTTGGATTCAGTTGCCTCAGTGGTGAAAGTGTCTCGAGTTTATGTCTCCCGTGGTCACTGCCCCTGACAGCGCGCGGTGGAACTTTGTAGAAGCTGCGATCATGTATTGGGAGAGATTGACAAGTCTTCCTGTCTCGGGGGGGTTTTATTAGACGCGCTGGGCGGGGCTTTGGCTGGGCAGGTGTGTGACGCGCAAGATAGAGAGCCAACCGGAACACATGTGCTGTTTTTGGATGAACTTTCTTGTATGTAAACGGTTTATCTGGTTTTTTGTTTGTTTGTTTGACATTTTTGACAAATATCCGTGGTTTTATCTTTGTGTGCAACCACGTAAAAGAGTAACTTAATGTGTTTTTAAAACAAAACAGACCAAAACAAATCATACGTGAAAATAAAAGCCAACACCTTCATTTTCACATAATTCCCTTTCTTTACAAGCATTTATTTACAACACGTCGATTCACGCCGTTTTTCAAGTCACATCTCAACCCTCCGCCAATAATGGAGAACAAACAAATCCGACACAGTGACCCTTAAGTTCATGCGTAATCACGCCATAACAACGATGCTCACGAAAAGCATCCCGAGACACATCTGCAGACAGCTGTTTCCCCACAACACAGACAGCAACTAGTCTAAACCGGTTTGTTGTTGTGTGGTCAAACTGTACAAGATGATGCATCCTCTCCAACACTGTATGAGGGTCAGGGCGGGTGTTTGGTCACTTGTCAGCCTTCTGTATGACTCACACTCTTAGCAGTTTCTTTTTTCATTATCGTCCAAACTTGGTCCATATTTAACTCATTACATTACTTTTGACAAAAAGGGAGCACAGTGACTAATATGCGCCGTTGGTCTGAAGAAGCTCAACGACCAAAGCTGCTCAGATCTACAAGTTATAGTCAGAGCTGAGTGACGTCGTTTACCGATAAGGCCTCACTGCCATCTCGTGGTGAACTTTAAGAATGAACACCAGAACCTTGACAGCAACACAGCTAATATAAATGTTGAGGACGTCTCCACATAATCAGTTTCAGCATGTGTTGTCTAGAACGATAAGCCCCTCCCCTTTCCCCAGGTGCACGCAACCGGTGTGACACTTTATTCTGTGACTCATTAACCCAATAGTTTAGAATTTATAACGTAGATTTAGATTATCATGAAGGCCCTGGTGTTGGACTAGAAGTATAACCAGTCTATGGTCAATATTATAAACTCTCCCCGAATAATACATGTGATAGTAAAGTATTTATAGTATTTTAATAGTATATAAGAGAAGTTAATCTGAAAAGTAACCAGTGCCTCCAGCTGTCAAACACACATAACCGTTAGTTAACACTGAAGCAAATAGTTTCCTCACGTCACTGTTCGCCGTCAACGCCTCACCCGCCAAAGTGTTGTCAAACCTTCGGCCTTTTTCACCTGGCTGAAGTCGCAGCGTCACATAACGTGACGGGTGACCGATGCCGCTGTTACACCTCCAGGTCGGCCAGGATGTCCGACGGTACGTAAGATGTTATAGAAACAGAGAGGGAGAGCTCCACCTACCGCACGCGCCGCGGACGACCGAAGAGCGGAGCGGACACAGCGCACCAGCGCGGGCGGGGTGAGGAAATGCGGTCTCTGCCCTCGCGAACCCCGCCCATTGGCCACTCGGCTGTCTCTGGAACAATTCTCCTCGCGCCGATTGGCTGCTGCGCTCAACGGCTCTCACCCGATTGGTTGAAAACGCTACGCTGCCTGTGGGCTGAGCGCTGGATGATTCCGTTGGTTGCTAACTGAGAGAACGGCGGCATTGAAGGGGCTGGGCCCGCACTGGAGAAATGGCGAGAACGGTTAACGAGAACGGCCGTGGAGTGGAAACACAGACCATGGAGCCGGAGGCGCCGGGCCGGGGTTCGGCCAGATGGGGGCCACAACACGCCGGGGCCAAAGAACTGGCCAATCTCTACTCCCCAGGTGAGCCGATCCTCTCCGCAGCTCCGTCTCGTGGGCTCGTTTCCCCGGTTCGAGTGGCCACAAGCGGCAGGCTTTACGTAGGGTAGTTACCAAACTAACGTCAGCAAACTGACACCGTAAAATCCTACCGAGAGGACCCAGTTTGTCTCTAACTGCTAAACCACAAATGACACCGAACAACGGGCGGCGGCTCCGTGACTGTCACAGCCCCACTTTTGTTGTCACTCAACAACAATCGTGCGAGGGTTGAGGTTGTGTTTGTGTTTGTGTGTTGAGTCGCGCTCGTCTTTTGACATTCCCCCCCCACACCCGTCAGGCACCGAGTTAGAAGAGCATCCTGCTCCTGCTTCCGAGAGCTTTTCATAACCGTGTTATTTCTGTGCCCGTGCACTGTAACTCACGTCCAAACTGTAGCCTCCCTTTTTTTTTTTTTAAGTTGCGCGATGTGGACAGGTATTTCTGGTCACGTGACAAGCAAAGTGAAGCGTGGACGTCGAGGAAGGAAGCATCCGATCAGTTCATCGCATGGCCTAGTTTACTAACCTTGGGGACGTTTTGGTTTGGGACATCTGTTCACTGGTAGCTTTATCAGGACCTCGTGTGTTGAATCACACTAATACGTCTGCTTGTGTTTTTTCCCTCTTTTAAGGCAAAAGATTTCAAGAGTGGTTGTCTGTCCTCCTCTGCTTCTCTCTCATGGCCTTCAATTTCATTCACCTTCTTGCCAATTTCCACCTGGGACATCTGTGGTACATCCTGTTGAGCATTGGTGAGTGTCGACTGAAACCGCGTCTAATCGTCTCTTGTTGGATCGTCACCGGTTGAGTTTGTCTCTTGACAACAGAACTCGACGACCAAGTTTTCTCACCTTTTCCCCGGTTCTTTTCACCTCTTTAAACTCCTCTTCAGTGGCGGGAATACTCACTGCAGACTTCGCATCGGGACTGGTTCACTGGGGCGCTGATACGTGGGGGTCAGTGGATTTACCCATCTTTGGAAAGGTAACGCATCCATTGTTTATACTCTTGATGATCTTGTCTTTTTTTTTTTTTCTTCTTCCAAAAAGGCCATTTCCTGCATTAATACGTCACATGTTTTTCAGGCCTTTATACGACCATTCCGGGAGCACCACATCGACCCCACGGCCATCACCCGTCACGACTTCATTGAGACCAATGGCGACAACTGCATGCTGACCATCGTCCCTCTAGCGAACATGGCCTTCAGCTTCCTCACCCTCTCCCCTGGTGAGTTTCCTCCCGACAAACCCAGTCTGACATGTTCGTCTGTCTGATTTTCTTTTTTTCTTCCCAAAATCGTTTTCCTTTTTGATATGCACACACTAAACCCATTACTCTCCGCCCCCCCCTTTCCAGCTGAGATTTACCGCTTCTACGCCTGGTACTGCTACTTGTTCGCATTAGCCATCTTTGTGACCCTGACCAACCAGATTCACAAGTGGTCGCACACGTACTTCGGCCTGCCTCGTTGGGTGGTGTTCCTGCAGGACTACCAGGTCATCCTCCCTCGCAAGCACCACCGCGTCCACCACGTCTCCCCGCACGAGACGTACTTCTGCATCACCACAGGTTGGTCTCCGCTCTCTCCAGTCGACCGGGTTTCAGTCGGCCCTCGCCGTCTATGGGCAGGCTTGTCATTGAGCTCTGTCCTCTCCAGGTTGGCTGAACTACCCTCTGGAGAAGCTGGGTTTCTGGAGGAACCTGGAGGATCTGATCCAGGGCGTCACCGGAGAGAAGCCCCGGGCGGACGACTTGAAATGGGCTCAAAAAGTCAAGTAACGCCGCTGGCTAACTGCACCCTACCTCAGAAGACCCTGGCTCCGCCCAGGCTTCTCGCCCCCCCCCCCTTCGTTTTGCCTCGCACGAACTGTAATCTATAGAAAGGAAGAACTAACTCTTTCTGATGCCATAGCTTTAAGTCTTGCACATTTTGTCTGTTTTTCAAGAGGGCTGCGTTGCGGGGATTTTTCATAACTCACTGATGGAGATCCTCATTTCAAAAAGCAATACATCCTAAACTCTTCGCGGGTCTAAAACAACTCATCACCTTTTTGAGCTGGTTTGCAAAGTGCGTTCGCTAAGAGGGTTTACTCTGATGCTTGATAGTCGGACACAGGTAAATCCTTTCCAAGGAGATTAAAAGATTTCCCTCGTGTATAAATGTCAAGCTATCCCAGAAAAGACTACGAGCGAACGCTTCTGTTCATTGTAGAGTGGATGAATCGCGTTATATTTAGCTCTGCTTTTTAGTGTCACTGGGAAACTCTTTGCTCCACCTCATCAAGGGTCCTCTTGATGTGGGACTGATACAATTGTATTGCGGCCAATTACTGTTACTCTCATTTGGGTTTGGCTGCAAGCTTTTGGGGCTGTTGTGTTAGTTGTTACTTAAAAGCCAAAATCATCCCTCCTGGATGCTACATGACAGATCTGACGGCTCAGAGAAAGGGTTTTAACTTAAACAACCAAAAAAAAATCAACCAAATTGCCGTCAGATCCTAAGAAGGCATTTTGATTGGACTTTTGACAATTGAGGTAATTTGATCTTGAAAAAGTGGCATCAAAATGTGTGTTACTGTCGTCGGCGTCGATGCAGGCCGTTAGAAATCGAATGAAATGTATCATGTCGTTCTGCCGAGTCAGCCTGGCCCGTCTGACTTTTCGATGACCGATTGTCCTCTGAAAAGCCTTTTTTAGTGTCTATTTCACTCCTGATAAACCAAGGAGATTTGCAGCAGACACTGTTTTTGTCCAGCAGCCTTACTCACCACACCTGCAGTACATGGAACCGTGTCTTTTAAAAAAAAAAAATCTTGTTTTGTTTCATTTAGCACTTCTTTATGTTGTGCAACTATGATTCTGTCTGTCTGGGATCTGTGGCCTAGTTGGTCAGCAACAGATACACACAAGTTGTGTGCGAGCAGTGTGTAACACTGTTTTCGCTCCTCGCGTCGTTCCCGGTGAGGGATGCGTGCACACTGTGCCGACTCGGCGAGGTCACTTCGCTGTTCGCTGTCCGCTTACGATCCAGTGACTTCTTCCCTTTTTAGAGATATTGCCATTAACTGATTCGTCTGAGAGATTTTTTTTTTTTTTTTTTTAATGCTTTAGTCTGCAATTTGTAAATGTATTGTGTGGCAAATAACTATGCAGTGTATTACGAGCCCTGAACCATATGTCTTAACTCGTCTGATTAGGTTAAAATGCCTTTCTTTTCTACTAGTTAACACAGTCGCCATTTTAGTTGGATAACGGGAGCTTAAAACTTACATGTACTAACTAAGCTACACAAATGTAAGGACGCATGTGTACGACATGTGATGTACTGGGTCACCAGCTTCCTGTTTGTGTTTGTGTACAGCAAACACTGGCTAGGTAGCTCTGGGCTTCATTTTTGCTGCTTTTAAAAGATTACCCAAAATCTGGACCAAGTGGTTTCAGGGTTTGAACTATCAACATTTTATCTAATAGATCATTTTCATGCTTAAAACAGTTACGTTTACCAAGTGGAGAAAGCTGAATTGTTCATTTTGAAGTTCAAATTATGCTTTATATGATGTGATATTCCAGTTTTTGAATCCTTCATACTCCATTATGTACAATTGTTCACTACAGGTCAACGGCAGAAATACACTGCAGATTGCCAGGCGCTTGCTGAGTATCGTGAGAAGCAGTTTTTGTGTGATAGTGTAATATGTGCAGGTAAAGTGATCCCTTTACCTGCCACTGCATCTAGGTTGAGGCTTGCGCAGAACTACTTTAGTTTTAGCTTTTTTTAAATCATAATTGGCCAATATATATATATAGTTTGGGAAAGTAGACTAATTTGCATCAAGATTGACTGACAGCTTTTTTTAAAGAATAACAGCTGGCTTTACTCAATGTTTCGGACCGTCAGCAAATTAATTTGTGTTGATAAAACGATATGTTTTTTTTGTGAAACAATATCAAAGGAAGGTAAGAAATATTAGACCTGCAAATTACTTTTAAAGTTGGACAAATCTGACAACCTTGCAATAAATATTTACGGTGAAGGAAGCCTCCACGTAACAAACGTAACTTGTGAATTTAGATCCAACATGCATTAAGTTATTCACCATTCGTATTCTCCAGATGATCTTGGGAATGTGGTTCAGTGGGTTATTATAAAATTGTGTTAAAGGTAAAACTTGTTCAAGTTATTATTTTCCAGCCTGTTGGCCCAAATAGCTTAATTATTTAAACGCAATCAGTAAAGCAAACGTGGCCTCTTCTTATTAAGGTACAATTTGTGATTGTGGTTTGTTTTGTTTTAGAGACGAGTGTCAGTGAGTTTGAAGGGTATTAAGTGAGAATGTGTTCTAAAACTTTCTCATTGAAAATTGTGAAAGCGAAGGAAGTTGTTGGTAAGTGGGGTGGCCAGTTCTTGTTAAGTCACACGCTTTGTTTTAAATCACTTTTGTAATGATCCTTGAACTCATTGAATTGCCTTATCCTCTCTCTGATTGACTCACTGTAGTTCTTGCCGGCAAATAGGAAACCCAACTTTATTTTGCCCTTTGCGTCTGACTTCCTCTGAGGTCAGACTCATATTTCATGGATGTTGCAGTAGGTTATCGATGCTGGTGGTGATGGAGTCTTTGATATCAGAATAATGCCTTGATGCCTTTTTGTTGTCTTCCATTCAGAAGACTCACAATGTATATAATAAAGTGTATTTATAAATTAACTAAATAAAAGATTGATACTTACTCCTGCCTGTTTCTCTAGTTACTTTCTCAGTGGCTATACATTCCCTCTGGATTGCAGTCTTATTGGTTACTTAAAACGTACTTGACAATATATTGGTATTATCATGAATATTCTCGAATAACCACATACTCTCAAAGTTGTTCCAATATTGATAGTGCACATACTAATCTATAAGCAACCCTACTTAGACTAATACCTCACCTCCATACTGATGGTATTATTTGGGCAATGTATGTTCTTCCTGCTTTTAATCTACGCAGCCTACTAATATGTTCAAGGATAAATACAAACCTCTTTCCTCACACACGGGCCGATGTTTGGTCTATCATGGTACTGATCGTCTAACGTCACACCGGGACAACAAAGGAGCGATGCTCTGCGTTTGTTCCACGCGCGCGCAACATCGCCACAAGCGAACCGACGTGCGCGCTCCCGCTGTGTGAAGCGACAAGATGGCGGTCGCCGCCGGATCAGGTAAATGCACAAGAGAAAAATATCACAACCATAGAATGTATTAATGGCCGAATTAAATACCGCGATGTGACTATCCAGTTTCGTAAGGAGGTTAAATATCTACTGAGGCGTGAGCTGTGTAAAAATATGCAAGCTAACGCAAAGTTGGGGCTTCTGTAGGCAATGAATAGGAAGCGATGCTATTAGCTAAGCTAACGTAACTTAAGTTAGAAGGGTAACTGTCGATAACGGGGTTTTATGTCGGTAGGTAGTCATGCAGCACCGATCACCTGAGTTCATCCTAAGTCACTCGTTGTATTTGATAACGTTAATAACGTAAATGACGTAACGTAAGTGCACATTGGTTAGCGTCGATGCTAGTGAACCACAGCAGCGGTGACGCTGTCGGCGTAATGTTTTGCCTCTGTAAGCGGATGTGCCACAAACCGACCGTGAAATGTTACCGACAGATGATGATTCGTGTCCTTCGTGCCCGAGACTGCTTAATGTCAACAATGACGCAACGTTTTTCCGTCAACCTGCGAGTGTCCCGAAGGGGCTCGCAAGATGCCGGTGATCCGAGCCCGAACCGCTGCAACATCTGTTCGCGTTGGTTCGCGTGGCTCGTTACCGGCGCGTCGCACCGCAGAGGCCGAATGACGCGGCGTCATCGAAGCCAGACCCCCGAATTTCTGGGCCGCTTGAATACTTAAAAACAAGGTGGAGGAACAGCCTGTCAATCAAGGCGTTGCTCGTTCTCCTCTCGCGTGCGTGCGCGTTGTATCTGCGAAGTCATCGCTCGTGCACGTTGACGGTTTTTGATCTGGTTGGAAGTGCGCAGGTGTCCGAGCAGGTGGTCACGTGGCTGCTTCTGTCCACAAACAGTTGTCAAAGTCCCTCGCAATTTCCGGCTCCTGGAGGAGCTGGAGGAAGGCCAGAAAGGTGTGGGCGATGGCACGGTGAGCTGGGGCCTGGAGGATGACGACGACATGACCCTGACGCATTGGAGAGGAGTGATCCTCGGCCCCCAGAGGGTGAGTTACACAAGGGCTGGGCCACCAGCATGTTGGTGGCTTTCAGAGGTGAACAGATCGCACTGAGGAGCTGCGTCAGAAGGTGGCTGCAAAGGGTGGGGATGAGTAACGTGAACAATGAGACTAATAAAACATTCCAGGAAATATAAAATATCAGTGAATAAATCCCAGGCAGCGCACCATGAAGCACAGTCCTCAGAGGGAACGTCACAGCTGCTTACATTTCTTTTTGAAAATGTTTTTTTTTTTTGTCATAGATTTTTCAGATGCTAAATGTGGTATTTACTTATGTACTCTGAGAGGCGCATTGAGATTCTTTTGTCATCTGCCTCTGGGAGGCTGAGTCTGTACAAGTGCAGCTCAATATTAAACCGTAAAGAACTATTCAACGACTCTGTACGTCCAAGGACTTTTGTCAAAGGACTGCAGACATTCCAAATCTTCATTCCTTTATCATTTTTTGTAACCGTCCTAACCGCGATTTTGTGGTTCTTGCTTTTGTCCACTCACCTCTCTCTACCTCTGTCTCTGTCCACAGACAAGCTTTGAAAACAGGATGTACAATCTGAAAGTTGTATGTGGGCCAGAATACCCGGAGTCCCCACCGTTTGTCAAATTTGTGACAAAGATAAACTTGAATGGCGTGCACACCTCCAGCGGTGAGGTACGTCAATCTCCAAAACCCGAGGTTCTGGTTCCAGCTCCGTCGCTCGACTTTAGGGGCCTTTGGCTCTTTTGAAAGAAGAAATACTCCTGATCCTGGTCTTGCTAGACGTATGAAAACATTAAGATAAAGCACACAATTTAGTTTATAATACTAAAAAGGTACCTGCAGTGCAAAAGTGTAACACATTGAGAATGGCATGTGTCAAAATAAGTGAGGACAATGAAAGGAAGACAGTCGTCCTGCTCTGCAGACTGGTTCCGGGCAGATAAGAACATTTCCTGTTCCGAGTCTCACTTAGTGGTGAAGCAACCATTAATGAGCTCTAAGAAACCTCAATTTCACTTAAACTGTAGTATGTGAATTACTTATGAGTTAGAATCACAGAAAATGTCACTTTAGGCCAACATGATCTCCCCAGGAGCGAATGGAGAACATTATCTTATTTTTTTTATTGGCTCTGCCAGTGTTTGCTTTCCCTTAAGTTGTTAAAATGTGGCGGTGCCCGGCCCTTTTATTGTTTCCCACGTTATATCAAAAGGCTTTTTTTAAACCAACCACAGATCGAGGACCATCAAACTTAAATTTAGTTTGGCAATAAGGAGCGGCCTGTGAAGAAAGGCTATAAAATAACTTGAACGTCTAACATTTTGGTCATTGAGGGAAGTAAGCGTTCAGATGTGTTGCAAGAGAGACCAAATGTTTGTGGGTAAGAATTCCTCCACCCAGCCTCACTGGTTCTCTGACCTGCAGGTGGACGTGAATGCGGTGACTGCACTGGCCAAGTGGCAGAACTCCTACAGTATCCGGATGGTGCTGCTGGAGCTGCGACGGCTCATGACCTGCAAGGAGAACACGAAGCTTCCTCAGCCACCCGAGGGCCAGATCTACAACAACTGAGCGCCGGCTTCTTCTGCCTCCATCGCCTCCTCGACTCTGTTTTTGTTTTGCTTTCATCTGTTTATCCCCACCATGTGACATCTCATGCCAACACCTTGACTGAGCACGCACGCACACACACACACACACACACACACACACACACACACACACAGCTGAAGACGTATGCAATGACAGACACGTGCAAATATACACTCCCAAATCTGTATACACCATCACAAAGCAGAACATGAGGTCCACATGAATACATGCAAACACACGTACACATATATCAGTACACACACACAACCCGCATAAGACCTAAACAATAACGAGTACAGGCAAATCTACATACACACAAAGACACACTTGAGCATTCATGAAAGTCATTCCCCCCCACGACCCCCCTCCCCAACCACTGGAGCTCTGGGTGGACTCGATGTGACGAGGCAGGTGGTGTCCTCAGTCCACACCAGATGTGATCGTTTGAATACTGTACATGTTACTAATCTTTTTTTTGTATTATTATTTGTTAAAAATGCAGATTGTACAATAACATAAATAATCTTATTGAGTGTACCTGCTTTGTGTTTCGCCTTTTTTACAACATCGCTCACTAAAAAAAGCCACTATGAGACAATCTTTGTTACCCCCAATGTACGTTTGACTTGGCAATAATAAGCATGTATGATCATGTGGCCAAATCTCTGAAATGTTTTCATGTCGTCCCGTTGGAAAGACGACAGCTCGTCTCCTTGTGAACATTCTTGAAGAGATATTGTGTTGAAATTGTTACGAGTCCTGTAGATAAGTCAAAAAATTGAATTTCAAAAGTCCACATGCAGGAAAGCTAGTTTCGTTGGTGTCGTGAAAACAAACTATTTGGATGAATAGCGAATGGATGTGTGGTGGGTGAGTTTTCACTGTAGACTGCAGCAAAGTGAAAAGCAGAACTGAGAATGAGTGAGGCAGTCAGCCCGATAACGAGCACAAAGGACACCACGTTATGCCAAAGCGATAATACTTTGGGATTTCCCAACATTTTTACACACTGCAGGTGTAACCTTCATCAAGAACAACTGCATTCCGTTTAGATGAGCCTGCTATGGACGGGTGTTTACGCTGGTTTGCTGGGACACAGCGGCACTGTCCATGTCACTTATTACATCTTTGCTCAAGTAATAACTAAAGAAAAGTGCCTGTGTATTATTTAGAGCTGTGCTGTTCAACCGTGACATACCAAAATGTCCACTGGGGGGGAAACAGCCTTTATAAGCAGTTATAAGAATCAAATGAATAACATCAACTGTAAATTCTGATTTCACTTGGTTAGAGTGAAATCTATGAGTCGGATGGAGAGGGTTCTTATACAAGGGCAGTGACCTCTTTTGATCACACGCAGGAATGAAGAACCGTCTACTTCCTTTGCATCACTTTGCAACTCTCTGGGTGAGCGAGGGAGGGGCTGTTGTGTGCTGATCAGTCAGATCTCAGTGCCACATTCATTAGGGGCCAGCAGGGGGCACCGCAGGCAAAGGAAAGTCAAAGACAACACTCCTGGAGGGGGCAGGGGGGGGGCGGATGTATGCCAGATAAAATGTCAAGGGAACCTTGAAGTGTTTCAGCCCTGATTTGACCTAATAAGAGGTGGGTGCAGTCCTGACGGCTCAACGGATATAGACGCTGCCCTCTTGTTATCCAGTGGAGCCGGCGGAGTGGACTCTGACCTACCCAGAAGCCCCATGTGATCCTCCTCAGTGTGTGTATGCAAGAACACGTCTGTCGCTGACCCCTACGCATGATGGCAGCGAGTCGTCTCCAACACCTCCAGGGAACGAAGGGACCCGTGAGTACTTTTCTCTGTCGAAACAGGCAGATTATTTGATTAGCTGAATCAGCAGCCCACGAGCGTTTTGGTAAACTCTGTTCTTCTAAAAGCCTGAGAATCTGTGCGAGGAACACACTTTTCTTTCAGTGATTGCATTTGTTAAAATACATAATACAGTCCGTGTTTGAGACAGAGATGAGCTTCTCAAGCCAACATGGAAAACGTTTACTGGGTTGTTTTTGCACATCATCACGAGTGGTTCCCCGCATTCCTCCTCAGCGTGTGAAAAGGGATGTGAAAATGGTATCAGCTGCTCGGGACATGCGAGGCGCTCCGTGGGCGTGAACTTAAATGACTGTTTTCTGTCAGGAGATACTTGACTCCCAACTGGATTTATCTAAGAAATAAACTTGACCTTGACGTGGCGTTTTGCATTAATGCACATGAGCTGTCAGGCTTTACTGATAACGACGGAGGGACTCTCGCCGGCCACAGTTGACATTTGCTCTCATGAATTATCGACTCTTATGAATTATCGGTGATTTACGATCTCCCGACAAGGGAAAATTATGCAACACTTGAATTTATCACCTAGTGCTACCTTACACCCTGGGAATGTAGTGTTTCTCTACTACATGACTACTTTTAGCTGATGAACTGGCCTCTGTGGTTCCTCCTGCCTCTCCCTTCCTACCACCTTGAATCGCTTTCTTTTGCACCTTCAACACCTCCCACATCGCTCATTTCTTGCAATATTAAATGAAATGAATTACAATCCTTTCCTCAGATAGTTTGACAGTTCCTGACTTTCGGCTCTAGGCATGACACGCAGCAGAGGGGGACCCATTTGGGGAGGCTTCTTCTCCTTTCGCCCTGGTCTTCGAGCTTCCTCCGGACCGCACCATGGCTCTGCTCGTGCACCTGCTGGCCTGCGCCTTCGGCCTCGGCTCCTGGGTGGCCGTGAATGGCCTGTGGGTGGAGCTGCCGCTCATCGTCAACACCCTGCCAGAGGGCTGGGACCTCCCGTCCTACCTGACAGTCATCATCCAGCTGGCCAACGTGGGGCCTGTGCTGGTCACCCTCATGCACAAACTGTGCCCGGGTCGCCTCAAAGAAACAGTCGTCATCTACTGCATCCTCTCCATCGGCGTCATCTCCTGCGTCTTGCTCGCCTTCTTCTGGGACAAGACCACGGTGGTGGCGGGGGCAACGCGTAGCACCGCCTTCTTCGCCATCACCTTCTTCCTCTCTCTGGTGGACTGCACCTCCTCGGTCACCTTCCTGCCCTTCATGATGCAGCTTCCGGCGAACTACATCACCACGTACTACATCGGCGAGGGGCTCAGCGGATTCATTCCCGGCGTCGTCGCTCTGGCACAAAGTGTTGGCATCGCCAAATGTGTGAACTCGTCTCAGACCGCAGGAAACCAGACGGACGGGGGCTTGTGGTCATCACATACGGAGTATCTCCCTCCCAATTTTTCCACGGAGGTGTTTTTTGGCCTCCTCGCCGTGATGATGTGCATAAGCCTGGCCGCCTTCGCCGCACTAAACCGGCTCCCCCGGATATTCGATCTGTCCACCGAAAAGCTCGTGCCAGACGCCGTGGCATCCGTGAGCTCCGGCCTGGAGAACCCCGGAGCGGAGGCCGCCGGAGAGGGCGCGAGATGCCAGGGGGAGGCGGCGGCCCGGAGCGAGCCTCTGTCGACCAGCCCGAAACATTCTGTGTACCAGCTGACCTTCATCTACTTCATGGTGGTGTGGGTCAACTGCGCAACTAACGGCGTGCTGCCCTCGGTGCAGACGTACTCCAGCAAGTCCTACGGGAACCTGGCCTATCACCTCTCTGCTGCCCTGGCATCAGTAGCCAACCCAGTGGCTTGCACCATCGCAATGTTCTTCCAAAACAGGTGAACAAATCTCGGATGGATTTAGATTTCCCAAGGTCCTCGTCTTTTAAAGAAAATGTACTCCAAAGTTTGTTTGAAGTCAACCGAGAGCCAAATGCCAAATCTGAACCTCGGGGAATTTTTTGATATATCTATTTATAGTCAGAGAAGCAGTTGCAGAAGCAACTCTAATGAACGTCTGGGCACATCTCTGTTCTACAGGTCGCTGGTGTTCCTCGGCGTGATGACGGCACTGGGGACCGGTTTCGGCAGCTATAACATGGCGATGGCAGCTATGAGTCCATGTCCTTTGCTTCAGGGGTCTGTGGTGGGGGAGATGATCATTGTAAGCAACACACAAAGGTGTGGTCGTAGAAAAGACGTAGAAAGAAAATACACAGAACACATTTCTCTGTGGTTTAATCAGCGAAATGCACGAGTCAAAGTTCAACCCCTCCTTTACGAAACACCCGACTATTGAGCATCCACCTGCTCTCATAACCGATGACGTAAAACATGTTTGGGCCGTTAACACGGCATCCTGATTGTTTTTTCTACACTAGCGTATAGACGTCAGATCATCATTCAGATGGTTCCTTCTATGTTCTCTCGCCCTCCCACAGGTGCTCTCGTGGCTCTTCTTCACTGGGACGCTGTCTTACGTCAAAGTAATGGTGGGTGTCATCCTGAGAGACCAGAGCCACAGTGCCCTGGTCTGGTGCGGAGCAGCGACGCAGGTGGGCTCGCTCGTGGGCTCGCTCACCATGTTCCCTCTGGTTAACGTCTACCGGCTGTTCAAGTCGGGGGACTTCTGCAGCACCCGATGCCCCTCGTGACAGTAAATCTGAGAGCCGCGTTCCTGAGGAGTCTGGAGTCAAAGGAGTAGTTTGTGCTCATTCAGAGGTGCGATGAGAAGATCCGTTCTGGGGTCCGTGGGTTTGAGCGCAGCGCTGGAGTCCGTTACTTAGCTTAGCATTAAGACGAGAGGAAACTGCTAGCTTCGCTCTGTTAAATGTACAGATCACTAATCATCTTGTCAATGACAACCACAGTTTGCGTGTGTTTTATTGGACTTTGGAGGAGTTGGTAAGTAGATTTTTCTTTGATTTGATAGTCAGATTTATTGTTGCCCTGTTTAGGTCCTAATGGTAAGCTAACCCGCTGCCGGCTCTAGAGCTCAATATACTGTATGAAAATACGAGAATGGACTCTACTACTCTAATCCACAGCGAGGAATAACAAGTATTATACAACATGAAACTCCTTAGAGGTTCTCCACTTGGACCCAGAGTCAGTTATTCATAGTCATTTGTTAAAGAAAAGATCGTTGAAAACTTTTACACCGGGTTCACACTTAACCTTGTAAGTCATTTAATAAACTATGATGGGAAATGCTATTAACTTACTATGCTATTAATGTATTAAAATGAAAAAGGTGGTTTCAGGTGTTTAGGAGCATTGCACCAATCATGAAGCTGCTATCTCATTTCCCCACTAGATGGCGCAAGCACACTTCTGTGTAGTAAAACCTGCCCATGCACTTGTGCACACACAAAGTGACCACAAATCCTGCTCACGTCCATCTACACAGTGCACTTGACCGGATGAAGTGCTTGTATATAAATGTTAAACATATTAGCCAAGGATTTAATGGGACATTTCTACACCTATAACACGGGATCTTTTTTTTACATTGAAACCTGAAAAAAACTATTACAAAAAAGCTGTAATACTTTGTTGCTGAACATTTAATACTGTATTTATTATTTGCTATGTGTATTCACTGCAAAGTAACAAAGCAGATTTGCTCAAGAACTACAGTTTTGAACATAGTGCTTTTTACGGTTCTACATTTATTTGACGGATAAAGCTGCTTACTTTATTAATTTCTTTACAGTTAAAAAATCAAAACGGACCTAAACAGAACCTTTAAGTAGTACTTAATTATGTTTAATTATTTTACTACATACAAAATACTAGGATTTTGCTACAGGACTTAATTCTTGTCTTGGAGTAGTTTTTAAATTGTGGTCCATCGTCCACCCTCCCCTGTACCGAACATTTAGTCACCACCTCTGACATTTGTGAGGAATGGCTTCTATTCTAAACCAGCAACAGATTAATAATCGGCTACTGGTCATGGAAACGGCGACAGCGAGAGAAGAAGACGGATCCCGGGATGCGTCTGGTCTGAGCCCCCCATCATCCCGATCAGAGATGCTTGTGCACATCCTCTGAGGAGGACGGAGGGACGCCGGTCATCCATGGGAACCAGAGAGTGCTTTCCCATCAGCAGCTGTTCCTCCTCCCTGCCCCCTTGCCCTTCAGAAGGACAGCGAGAGGTTCCCCGGCCGGGAGGAGGAGGAGGAGGGCTCTAATTACTGATGCTCAGCGGGGGCCGGTAGCTGTTGCTCCTGCCGCTGGTCACTTGGGAGCTTCCCTGACCCCGACACTGAGTAAAAACAAAAAGATAAGGAGAGGAAAATGGGGCCACAATTAGCCCGGCGTAGCCTCCAGGGCCCAGGATCAGTGGAGGAGAAGCACAGATGGGACTTTCTCACTTGGATTTGTTGAATCTACATTGCAGCATGTGTGCGCCGCGCAGAACCACCGCGGTTGGATGTTGACGTGGATTTGAGGAATGCCTTTAAATGAAATCAGACAATGTGGGGTTTTTTTTGGTCTTGAAATGAAAAATAAATAGCAGCTTATGGTCATTGAGATGAGAGCGAGTACCTGAGGATTGCAACGCTATTGGGAACATGACATTGAATTCTCATAAGCTTCATTAGCTAAATTCCTTGATTGGCTCAGGGCCTTTGTGTGGAGACAAAACAAAGCAGCTAAGAAAAGTGTATCGCTTTCCTGCGGGTGTCAGATGGTCCCATCGCTCCTCCAGCTGGTCAGGAGGGGCCGGGGCCACCTGGATGCTCGGCCCCGGTCCTGTGAGATCCTGCGCTCTCCTCCGCCATGTGAAGACTCAACTCGCTACGCCACAGAGAGCTCCATCTGCTCAGGACGGCACCTCCCAGAGAGGCCCCCCCGCCCATCCACCCATCGCCGCTGCTCCACTGTGCCTCCCAGCTAAATGAGCAGCACATCACATAACAGGGACGGGGGGTCTGGGGGGGGGGCTTCACTCTTCCTTCAACCGGATAAGAGAACAAATTCACGGTGCCAGTAGGGAAATGAGCGGATGAACCCGCCTGCGCTCGTCTGACGTTGAGTGAGGGAGCACGCACAAAGTTGACGTCGGGCCGCACTGTGTTTTTGACCAAAAAAACAAAACACAAAACAGCTCGGAAAGTGTTGAAATTTGCTTGCGTGGACCCGCAGGGCCGACAGATTTTGGCAGCTGACGTTCAGGTGAACAGCTTGTGGGTAAACCGTTTGCTGATGCATGCAGGCGATTCACAGACATGCACAGCTCAGACAGCATCGCTCTCATCAATTTACACACACACACAGATACACACACACACACACACACAGATACAACCCATCTAATAAATGGCATCCATTTATTTGAAATTGGATGTGACAGCCTATGTCATTTCACCATAGTGTCTGGGAGCAGACAGCGATGCACATGGGCCCACTCCTCGTTTTCTATCAGCAGGTATTGATGTTGCTTTAATGAAGTGCCTAGCACTCCACCCAAGGAGGAGACAAGTCTGTCAGCATATGTAAATGCTTCCTGCCTGTCATTGTTGTGGAGGGTTCAGGATGGGTCAGCATAGATTCCCCCTCTGGGAACCCTTTGTTCTGGGGCCCGACTGTGCCACATGAGGGGACCAATTACAGAGCTGCAGAGCAGGACGGGGGTGCTAACTTGTTACCCTGCCACGGTGAGCTAATTATTACCCCCACACTGCGTGCAGCATCACGGATGGGTAACAAAAGCTAGCTTCTCTGCACGCGCCAAGCTTCGAGATATAAATGCTTCACTTTTTCCAGTTTGGATGAGACGTTTCACTTGCGTGGATTGGTTTATATTAAAGGCGCTATTATCACAGTCTGGGAAAAGGTCATCCTAATTTCCCGGCCATAAATAGCCGCTGAACTACTTAAATCCCGGCGGAGCTCCTTTGCATTGTCAATGCAAAGGCAATTCGCAGACCACAGACTGCCAACCACGTAACCTTGATGTGGTGTCGAGAAATGATTTATGAAATCCCGCTCCGCCCGTCCCGAGCCGGTCCCGACCCGGAGCGTTGACGCACAGCCCATATGGCCGAGCAAACACGCACTCGCCGAATTATCATTCACATCATGACACCTCGACGGGCCTTTGTTCCCCGCATCCTGATGAGATATTGGCAGCCTGTTTCTCATCAAGGAGTGCGAGGGATCTGCCAGGTTTCCTCGGGGTGAGCCACGAACTGTTTTAGCTGACGTGCAAAATGATGTTTGACGCCGAGGCCAGCGAGCGCACATGTAGGTACTCGGTAGAGCGCCACAGCGAGCACGTCGACCTAAATGTGTAAACCCACCCGAGCAGCAGCAGGTGCATTAGCAGGAGTGTTTTAGAGGGTAAATTAAAGGGTGTATTTTAGGTCAAAATACCAAACCCACCTCTTGATGCATATAGACGCCCTTCCTTCCTTGCTATTAGCCCCCCCCCCCCCCTACCATGCAGCCCCTTTCATCTCCTTTTCCCCACCCCCAGTGACCAGTTGCCCAGCTGCTCGGGGCTACCAGTCCCCCCTCGTGTGTGGGGCCAGTCAAGTGGAAAATGGCTGCTACCGAGAGAGCCCACTTTAGAGAGCCATCATCCTTTGAAGGGGCATGATGGCCTTTGACAGCCACAGTGTTAACACGGAGCCCACGCGAACACGGCGCCGCTATTATCGTGTTTACTAAAGCAAGAGGAGAGGGGATCAAGGGGAGACCCCGTTGGTCGATGTTTGAGTCCGGGGGTAGCGGGGCGCTCGCGTGAGCCGCGCGGCGGCGGCGGGCGGCGTTGTGGGGCAACATGACACGGGATCACTGGCAGCCAGGTGGAGATTGTGTTTCAACGCGTCAGTGGAGCTTTTAGCGAACAGGTGGTGATATGATTGGTTTGTCTCAGCGCGGTGTGATTACTTCTCAAACACCTGTTTCGGTCGGGTATCGCGGGCGGCTGCTCCCGCACTTCAAATGGAAATCATGACTCTCGAAAACACTTATTCACGTCACCGTAGGTCTCATTTCCTCACAGACATTTAAACAGTTCTCGCTGCTCTCGCGCAGCAGCCGAAGGTATCAAACGAGCAAAAACATTTGTGCGGTGTATGCTGAGGAAAACATTTGTGTTTGGATAGCAGTGCGTCGGTTTTTCATTACTAAATGGTTTCTGGTTTACACGAGTGTATTCTAGAAAAACACTCATTCGTGGTACATAAAAGGTATAATATGCTTAATATGAATAGAAGCCTGTCAGAAAAAAAGGACACGTAACCTCATCATAAAGAAGTCTAAGCAGAATGCACATCGAGATGAGAAGGAGTGCTCCGCGACGGGACGAACCCGCCGGACATCTTCACGGGACAGACGGCTGATTGAGAGGTTTTCGCTTTGGCAGGCGAGCCCTGTTGGAGTTAATTGAAGAGCTCTCCACACAAATGCAGCATGCATTGGACGGAAGCGCGGCGCTGCCCCTCGGCCCGCAGGTGCTGATTGCGTTCACGTTTTATGCAAATAGGCCCTTTCAAAAAATACTGGGAGATATGATGAATGTACACCGGAGGACAGCTGGCATGGCAGGTTATTAGAAGAGTGTCCTTGGCCCATGGAGGACTTCTATTTAAAATCAAAGCTACATGGCGCTCATGTTACCTGCGTGGCGCTTTACCTCGTGTGTACCGGTGTTTCCTCTCAGGTGAGCTGGTTGGAGAACGGAAAGAGAGTTCAGCTCACTCGCGGTCCTTCCAGCTTCTGGCCCCAGCTGCAGCTTTGCGCTCGGCCTGGTTCACAGCTTCCTTTCTTTACGGCAGTTCCTGGAGTCTCTGACGAGCCAACAGGTTTCGTAACAGGTGGCGGCACTGTTCAACTATGAATCTTTGTCTGTCAATTGAAAGGGTCGGCGTTGTTGTCTTGGCCAGGCCCAAATGGTGCAAGTTCTATTACATATTTCTATGTAGATCAACATAATGAAAACACAGGATAACTGCATGTGACCGATTTCACCTTCAAAATTATTATCAGAAAAATAGAGATCATGGACGCTTTGAGTAACAATAATGCGTCATGATATCAAGTTGTGTCTCTCTTTTCACAGGACATATGGAGAATATAAAGCGCTGCTCTCAGGGTTTTGAGAACCAAACCACTTTAACAAAAAAAACAAAAAAAAAAACGCTAAATATGCTCATTAGCTGATGCAGTGTGCTCTAATCCACCTTCGACCCAATGCAAAGTGTGCAGCCCAATTTATGGTTGCAGGTTGGATCAGCAGCAGATAAAAGCTGACACCGTTTCATCCGGCCTTGCTCCCCCGCTGGCTCGACTCCAGCACCGGCCCGACTGCTGATCCACGGGCTGCAGCTCCACCGAGCCGCTCTCGCACCGCTCCGGCACATGTTGCTGCAGGACACGCGTGGAGCAACAGTGATTTTAACCGCAACAAATGGGGGAGGAATGTCATTATCTGGATTTTCGGTCAAGGGCTCAGTACCTGCCACAGATGCCACTGTTTCTCTGCGTCCCTGCGTTCGTCCCGGGGCGAGTGCCGCCCACCGTACTTGAAAAGAGCAGGAGGTGCCTT